AATAAATAATAGATAAATAAAGTTTATTACCATTTAATTCTTCTAATGTAGGAGTATCTGAAACTGATTCTATATTCGAATTTGATAGCAAAAAAAATGAGTATAATTAACGAATTATAGTAAGAGTATGGTTAATAATACATGTATTACCTTTTATTAAGGAAGTTTTTTTAGCATCCGAAACAGGCTCTAATGTAATTCATGAAAAAAAGAAAGATGTAAAATATCATCCAACCGCCAAATTAACTCATTTTAGTCATACGAAGCTTCATTACTTTTATTCCTTTTACTTGTTTTGTGAAAATATTTGTTAATTTCTTTATTACACTCTTACCTTTACAATTACTATTAGACATTGTTATAATTTATAATAAAAAGTTTTTTTTTTAAAAAAAAAAAAAAAAAATTTATTTCAACCACTTGTATAAGGGCCGGTAGATAAACTGTACTGTACGAAAGTGTTTCAGCCAATCATAACTCATTGTACACTTTAATTTTTTATATTTATCGTACAATAAAATACGTTTGGTTGTTATCATTTTCACACAGTACAGTTTATATTGTATGTATAACGAAACGATAACAAAAATGTAATAGAACATTGTCAGGCAGTGTCCATTCTCCATGTCCCAAGCATTTTAAGACTGTGTTCCAAGCTGTCACACATTATGTCCCAATTGTCCCAAGCACATCTGGGACATATCCCACACAATACCTATTGTCAGGTATGTAGATCTTACCACAGTATTATGTGAGGCACATCACTTTAGAAATATTTACAAATTCATTGGTTTAATAAAAATAACCAATGATGATAATTTGAATCGGAAAACTTTTTTGTTCTAATTAGATACAAAATAATTTTTTTGATTGTTTTTAAATTTCTTTAAAATAATTATCATAGCATTATGAGAATAAAAATTACGAGGCACGTTTTTTTGTTGTAGAGATTTTATCACATTACGATGATCATCATCTTTATTTTAATTGTTAGAAATTTAATTTATTTAATTTTTTTTAAAATAAAAGTTCTTTAAATTATTGATATTCTGTGTATTGTAATGCAGGGTTAATTGTTTTAAGTCACCAATATTGCATCTTGTCTAATAAGTACGAACGTTTTGGTGAGGGTTTGTTTAACAATAATTTAGTATTTTGTATTGTTACAATTAAATGTAATTCTGGCAAATTTTCCATAATTTTGATAGTCCTTTGATGATCATTTTCCAAACTAGCACGGCCTAATTATTTTTTTTTTTTTATATATATATACGAGCTGGAAATCCTTAAAAGCTCAATAACCACGCTCGCCCTTGTGATATTCCTTTGATTATATTCCCTTCGAAATCCTCCCTTTTACACCTTCGCGATAATTTCATTTTCGACATTTCAACCTTTTAACGCAGTTTTAATTAAATATAATTTAGTACTTGGCATTTATAAAGTTTAAAATATCGATCAAGCGAAAGTGTATAGCGCCGACATTGAGGAAACACTGATTAATTTGATAATACTAAATAAATATTTTGTCATTATTACTTCATTTTTATTCAATAAATACCTTAAAATTGATTATAAATACATAAACGAAAGAACAGTATGATGATCTTACTGTAAAATGTAAAAAATAATTTCTAGCTATTTCGTCGAATATTTTATGTTTATACTGCGTCATCAATTGGTGTAATGCAGTATTTTTTTTTAGTGTTTGAATTTAATAACTTAGGCGAAATTTCAGTTGCACTCCGTTAAAAGTTTTTTCTTTATTAACTTATTATATTTACTGCTCCAGTTACTTATTCTAGAAAACAAAAAGCAAATCAATCATAATTGTTTTACAATTGGAGGTATTTTCATTTTTTTTTTAGATTCATTTTGATTATTTACTGCCGCGCCAACTATTGTATTTGTTAGATCGAGAGAACCAAATATATAAAGTAGAAAAGTGTAATATAAAAAGTTTCACTGAATATAAAAAATTTGGCTCCAGATCAGCGTATAAACTTTTCTTTGTTTAATGAAATACATAATCTCTTTATCATATATCAACATTTGCCATAAAGATTTTTATGTTTTATGACAAAATACTTGTAAATGGTTCTCCAAAATCTTGAACATTACCACTTGATTGTACGATAAAATTTTATTAATAAAGTTTATCTATTTTTCGTCATAACTAACCTCTTATTGCATAAGATACCAAAATTAGATTGAAAAAAAAAAGAAAAATATTATAAATAATTAGAGAATTTGAACAAAAGCCATCAATTTAATCTTTGTCAAGTGAATCTATATTTTAAATTAGATACTGTAACTATTTATGTAAAAATTTTAGTAGCTTTTAACCATAATTTACTGGGATCTCTCGCACTTTCCTCGTCATAGTATAATCTATATTTAGCTGGTTTATAAATGTATTCTAATACATCATCTTTATTGTTACTGGAATCTTAAACGGTGGAGGAATTAACCCTTTCAATGTTTCATTTTGTAATAATCCAAAAAAATTAAAATCATTGTATATCGAATCAAAATCATAAACTTGGCTGCCAGGAAATGAAGCGTAAGATAATGGCGTATCTTTATAACCACCAACGGCAATAGTGCTTACGTTAAATTTTTCCGCCATTCGATGAGTTATCAACGAACATGACGAACCACAATGCCCATTTGTTAATATAACAACATCCATTAATGTGTCCTGCTAGCAATTTGTAAATAGAGTAAATCCTTGTGAATTTTTATCCACAAATTTTGATGTAAATGATGTAGGAGTTCCCCTCTTATGTATGTATTATTACCAATAAATTTTCTACAGTGGAAAATGTTTTCCCTGTATTTGGATCTTTGTAACCGACAACGTCAAGGAATGAGGTTGAGTAGATAT